TAGCCCGATTTCCCCTAGTAATTTACACTAGGGCAAATATTTGTTTTGGTATTGACTATGTATTGACTGAATGGCTATAGTACAACGGGTTTTAATTAATGATAAAAAAGGCCAAGACTCTCAATTGTAATTGCACTAAGGTTTTATAAAAGTTTCTAAAAGAATTGAGTTAACGATTTAAATTGACAAGATAAAATAGAAAATTTAAAAGGTAGAAAAATAAAAAAAAAAAAAAAGTAGAAAAAAAAAATATGAGGTAGTTGGTACTATTAGAAAAAGAAGTTAAGGGCCTTGAACAAAAATTTAAAATTGAAAAATACACAAATTGCACACACAATATAGTACTAAGATATGAAAAAAATCTTAAAATAGGATTTAATATAAACTTTAATATAAAAAATAAAAATTTAAAAAGGGGACTTGCAATTGCACTAGGGTTGGTATGGGTTGTTGAAGATCAAAGTAAAATAGTTTTAAAAAATTGACAAAATAAAAATTTCCCCAAATTAAGTCCCAAAGAATAATAAGTAAAAAAAAAACAATGGAAAGTCTTGGTTTAAATGTAGTAAGAGGGTAGACAGGTACCGGTAACAGATACACAGTACAGGGGTACAAGGCCGGTACAAAGGATAAAAAAGGGTTTGGGAGGTTAATATACAATTTGGAAAATTTTTGGGCAACAAAATGTTTTAAATTAAAATTTTAATGTTTAAAAATGAACAAAATTTAAAATTGACCGGGAAAATATGGGTTTTAATTTTTGTAATAATAAGTTCAAAATAAGTGAAAAAGTTTTTTTATTTTTTTAAAAATTGCAGGGGGTATTTCCATGGGGGATTTGGCAGTAAAAGGGTTTTAAGAGTACTTAAGATAGTAAATTGGTTTTAAAAGGTTAAGGTAATTAGACAAGAAAGGGTTAAAATTGTTTCAAAAATTTTAAGAGTAAAGTATTGAAGTAAAAATGGAAATTTTTAATTTTGTAAGTAATTCTTGTTAGATTTAAAAAAATGGTAAAAAATTTGGACAGAGAAAATTTATTCGCTATTTTTAACAAAAAATGAAATAAGAAAATTAGAAAGGTGACTTATTTACTAGTAAAATCACAAAAGGGGTAGTTGATTTTTAAATTACAATACCCGTAATTATACCATGGGGAAATTAAATAAATTTGATTTCTTCCAGATACTGCCAGAATGGAACCAAGGGAAGGAAAAAATGGTAAAAAAGGATCTGTCTTCAGGTTTCTTACGGTTTTGGAGGGGGAAAATCAAATTTCCCATCTGTAGGACAAAGGTCAGGTTCACAACTGTTAATTTTTTTGGAAACGGTCGGGGAAGGTACTGATTCCAAAATTCTTTTTAGAAAAATAAAAGAAATAAAAAAGGGATTTTTGTTATTTTTTGCTTAAAATGTTGGTTTAAAATTTGAATAAAAAAAGTTTGGAAAAAAAATTTTGGGGTTTGTGATATTAGAAAAAGAAAAAGGTTGATGTGAATTTTGCAACAAAGAAAATAGTAGAATTTTGTGGCAATGCATTCGAGGTTGGCGATTCCCGAAGGAATTTTTTGGGTAGTTAAGAATTACAAATACAAGATTTCCCAGAAATACGGACTAAATGACAAGGAACTTGCAGTGGAGGGGCCGATTTTTAAGATTGTTAAAACTATTATAAAATTTTGGCCGGGAATTCCACAAAGTTTTTTAAAGAAAATCTGGAAAAATAATAAATATGATGGTAGTATAAAAAAAAACCTTTTGACATCAAACAAATTTTGATAACTTTCTAGCAGATGTTGAAGTTGTAAGTGTTACGGCCAAAAAGGCTGGGAGAACAATACCGAGAGCTTCAAGTGCAAACCCCCTTTACTTTGGATGAATGACGGTGGAGTAAGCTTTAAAAGTGGGGCAATGCCTAAAAACAGTTTTTGAAAGATTTACTCTCCCCTTTAAAAATTTGGGGACACCAACCAAAAAGTAAGAAAAGAGCACTTTGACCTCCAAAGAGAGCGGGAGAAGAGGGCATAAATCCCTTTTGCTGCTGAACGGGTTTTAGGGTTTGGGAAAAATTTCCTGTTATCACTTGTACAAAATTTGGGGTGATGGAGCTAGCAAAATTGATGAAATTTAAAAATTTTGATTTTTGGGTTCTTACGAAACAGCAAAGCAAATCACTCTTTTTAAAAATGTAATGGGGAGCAGATGTTACCAAAAAAGCAGAGATTTTCAGATAGAAAATTTTTTTAAGTTTTTGAAAGGGCTTGATATATTTTTATCATAGATGGGTATGAAAAAGTACGAAAGATAATTTTCCCTTGAGATGAAATCTTTTGGGACTTGACGCAAACGCATCCTGATGACCACCCGACCCCACTGTTTGCAAAACACGACTTATGTTAAAAATCATTTAATTTTATATTGTTGAAAATATCAAGCTGGATGACCCTTCCCAAACTAAAAATTTTTGAAGATTTTTAAAAAATAAATTTAAAAAATCCCAAATAGTAAAAAGCATTTAAGAATTTTCTATCATCTTAAAGGGATTGGAATGAAAAATTCTAGATCTCTTTTCGGCCCCTTACTGCTTTTCTTTTTGGGGCAGTGGAAATCAGAAAAGAGGTGTAACTGCAACAAATTCTATGTTTTTTATTCACCCCAGTACAAGAAGTTTAAGTGTGGGTGGAACAGGAAATACCGCAAAATTATTTAAAAAAAACGGGAATTAAAATTTGCCTGGGCCTTCTCTAAAAAAACAACTAGAAAGAAAAAAAAAATAAAAAATCCCAAACCCAGTTGATGTTGACGGCTTTCCCTTTTAATTTATTTCAATTTATAGGGATTGAATGAAAAATTTGTATTTTAAATTTTCCCCCAGCGCATATTACTTCCCCCAAAATTTTAACCCATAAAAGCTAAAAAAGCCTGCAGAATTTTTCAAAAATTGGGGTTTAATTTAAAGCAATCCGTAGTTTTTTTGTTTTTTAGGAACCTTTTTTTTCTCAAAATATGGGTAATCGATAGTGCAGGAAGTTTTGAGATTATCCACAAAAAGCCGGGGGGCGGAAAGCAGAAAAGTTACAGAAAGGTGGAGCCTTTTTTGAGAGTAAAGGGTAATGAAACTGTAAGATTTTCATTGCAGAAAATGTTTGCCAAAATTTTCACTGGGTGAAAATAGAAAGATGTTTTTCCGCCCAAAGCTTCTTGCTTCTTGCCCATTTCAGCTTAAAGGTTTAAAGATTAAAATTACCAAACATCGCCCCTTTTGAATCCCAGAATTTTTCCCTCTTTAAAGCCCCCCCTGAAAAAATTGCTATCGAATGGTAAGAAAATGCTTTGAAGTGGGTTGCATTTTTGGCTCTGACAAAAAGGGGAGGCTCTACCCATCGGATAAGTTCCTCCGCACCCTTTTTTTAAGGGGGAATTTTGGGAATTTACAGGTGAATGGACACAAAAAGTAGGAAGGGGAATGCTCTTCAATCCAAGTAAACTGAGAACTATACGCGCTCGACTGAATACTCCAGGGGCCCTCCGATCCCTACAGGTCATTGTCAAACATCTGCCGCCACTCTGCAGGGTTGTCCGCATCACAATTGATATTCCAGAAGACTGTGATCCAGCTTATTTTGAGCAACTTCATTGCCCAAATTTAGAACTTAATTTTCAAGAAATATCTCTTGAAAATAAAAACTGGATCATTAAGGCCATTAAAGCTATTGGCGGAAGGTAAGTAAAACTACTACAGTACTTAATAAATGAACATTAAAAACAATATAATAATTTGGCTAGTATGGCATGCAATATTTTATTGGTTTATCACAAATTAATATTAATCGTCATTTGAATATAAAATTGGGTGTGGCATAACATTTGAAAATATACATTTCAAAACATTTTGCACAAGATTTTTTTTGGAAGGGAGGGGGGGGCCTAGTGGGTTTGGTTATTTACTTTTTTTTTTTTTTTTTTTTTTTTGCATATTAAAATTGAAACAGGACTGAAGAAGAAAACAATGTGATGCATTGTAAACTTTACTGCACCCTAGAAGAATAAGACAAAGGGCTTGAACCCATTGTAAGCAGTCCTAAAACTTGCAGGCCAGTGCATTACCCACTGGACCATACCGGACTAATAAGTTTCCCTAACTTGGTATATTTCTATACACCATATGAAAATTAGCATGGATCCCCCACTGTGACGACATTTTATAACGGCTTCTTTTGGAACTTTGGCTAAAACATGCCACAGCCAAACTACAGTGAGATTCGTCTGTAAACCCTGCATTGTCGTCACGGTGGGGCCCATGCCACCATAGAAAACATTGACGTTTGTAATAATAACAGGACGTGCTTACAGAAATGGCATCTGGAGGGCATGCTTTAACACCTGCACTATGGACGTGGAGTGCCAGGCAGCCCTCATAAAAGATCTTGCAGGACTCATAACGAATAAATTATCAATCCGCACCATCATGGATATGGATGAAGTACAACAGAAAAAGCTGCAACAGCTTGCTACTTTTACTGTCAACTGGATATAGGAAACCATCTTGTTTCATGACCCCCATTTTGGAAACTACATATTGTTTTATGATTTCCATTTTTTTTTTCTCATTTTTTTTGTTATCAGTGTAATCACAAATAAATGACCAATCTTTATTATGGATACTGATAGACAGCAGAAAAAACTACAGCTTTATGCTTTTATTGTCAACTGGATATAGAAAACGACATCTTATGACTTCCATTTTCCCATTCAAATTTTTATCAGTGTTAAATATTAAATCATCATCATTATTCTCAGAGATCTCTTGATGCCCTATGTTTCTAATATATTTTTCTGTCAGTGTTTTGAGTTTACCTTATGTTTCTAGTGGACAAATTATATTTTTTCAGTGTTTGGAGTTTTTTTTTTTTAATTTGAGGACAGTAGCATTCACTTAATATGCCAAAGTATGTTATTAATAGAATTATTATAACTATATATTTTTTTAATTATATTTATACACCATTGACTAAAAATGCTATATCTACCTATATATAAATGTTTTTGTATTAAATGGGAATACTTTTGGCAAATTCAGCATCTGATTAAAGTAATTTTCTGTTTTAGGTGCTACAATTACCATTATATGCTTGATATATTCCACATTTTACCGTAGCATTTTTCTATACTATTTACCACTTGGAGCAATGCTTTTGACGGACATAACTGTTACAAGTGTTGATTTGAAAATGTGTTTTGGTTTGTGCAAGACAGGTTTCTTAGTTAATACTTTGTATAGCTGAATATTTTAAACATTTATGATGTATTTCTGTTAAGCAGCATAATTCTAAAGCTAATAAAATAAAGTTGAAGACTTCTTTTGTATTTGGTGGAAAAGTATTAAAACTGGATCATATATATTTAGTGTGTTCATACCTTTTCCATCGAGACCCTATGAAAATCAAACATTAGTATGATCCATTTCTATTTTGATTGTCTACGGTTGAGTGAGGAAGCCATTTATTTTGAAAACTTCATGGAGGTAAAAATCCACTCACTATCAGATATTGAATCTTAATCTTTCCTCTTGATTATTATGTTAAAAAATGTGCAAAACCCTTGTTTTTTACTCTGAAGTAAGGATAATGGGGTGAAACAAACTTAATTTTCTCGATAAATTTAACAATTCCAGTAGATATTTGTTAAGGATGAAAACGGGTTCATTTGCTTTTTAGGTATCTATCATACCCTTTAAGGAAGCTCCTTGATGCTTGTGAGGGACTCTTGATCTTAGGAGTCGGACCTTTGCTCAAATTAGTTGAATCGACTCTGAATGTCTTCTGTTTCCTTAGGAGCTGTGTGACCTACGGGTTGAGCGCTCCCTATTCATAATATGAGAAGGCTTCATCCGATCAATCAATAAAGTTTATTCTCTATAAGGATTACAATGCGGGGTGGCAATTAGGGTAAGAGTATACAATTATTAGCATTCCCTATGATCAAACTTATATAGCCCATTCCAGGCGTCTTGGAATGGTTCATAACTTTCAAAAGCCTATTCTGGTCTCCCCATTCCTTTAATTCCTGCTTCTGTGTCGAGATCCATCCACTCTTCCCATTGTACCAGTTAGCAATGTTGCACCGCCCTGCTCCATCTACTTCCTCTTGTGCCACCCTATCTGCTGCCTCCTTGTCTATTGAAATGCAACCTTTTTTTTTTTTTATATTTTTATTAACACATTGGCCCTTTCCCACCGAGGCAGGGTGACACGGAAAAGAAGAAATATTTTCTTCATCATTCACTCCATCACTTCCCAGAGGCGTGCCAACACTACAGTTCAAAAACCAACATATCTCCACCCCTCCGTCAGGGCGCAGGCACGGTACTTTGCACCTCCAGGACTCGAGTCCGGCTAACCGGTTTCCCTGAATCCCTTCCTGTTACCTTGCAAACACTCCAACAGCACGTCAAATCATAAAAACCATTAATCTCCACTCGTTCCTATCTAACATGCTTACGTGCGCTTGCTGGAAGTCGAAGCTCCTCACACGCAAAACCTTTACCCCCTCCCTCCAACCATTCCTAGGACGACCTCTGCCTCACCTTTCCAATAGAGATTTATACGCCCTCCAAGTCATTCTGTGTTGTTCCATCCTCTCTAAATGTACGAATTACCTCAACAACCCCTCCTCTACCCTCTGGATAATAATTCTAGAAATTCCACACCAAATCTCCAAGCTGCGGATTCTCTACATAATATAAACACCACACATTGTCCTCTTAACACATTTCCACTGCCTCCAGCCTTCTTGTTGCAATATTCACCACCAATGTTTCACACCTATATAAAAGCGTTGGTACCACTATATACTCGTATATTTTTCCTTCTTTGCTTCCACGGATTAGGTCCTTTCTCTCTACAGACTTCTCTGTGCACCACTCACCTTTTTCTCCTCGTCAGTTCTATGATTCGCCTCAGTCTTTCGTAAGTAGACCCATCTGCCGACAAGTCGACTCCCAAATATTTAGGTGTCCCATAGCTCGATTGCTAGCACACTCAGCTCACACACTGAGGTCCGTGGTTCAGTCCCCGGTACAAGTGGAAACATAAGGACGTGTTTCCTTAAGACGCCTGCTGTCTCTCTTCTATCAATAAAATAGGTACCTGGGTGTTAGTCATCCGGTGTGGGTCGCATCCTGGGCACAAAATTGACCTAATTTGCTGGAAATGCTTTGCAACGTACAGAGAACTTTCACGGCGCGCATAACGGAGATAAAACACCTCAATTACTGGGAGCGCTTGAGGTTTCTAAACCTGTATTCCCTGGAACGCAGGAGGGAGAGATACATGATTATATACACCTGGAAAATCCTAGAGGGACTAGTACCGAACTTGCACACGAAAATCACTCAATACGAAAGCAAAAGACTTGGCAGACGATGCACCATCCCCCCAATGAAAAGTAGGGGCGTCACTAGCACGTTAAGAGACCATACAATAAGTGTCAGGGGCCCGAGACTGTTCAACTGCCTCCCAGCACACATAAGGGGGATTACTAACAGACCCCTGGCAGTCTTCAAGCTGGCACTGGACAAGCACCTAAAGTCAGTTCCTGATCAGCCGGGCTGTGGCTCGTACGTTGGTTTGCGTGCAGCCAGCAGCAACAGCCTGGTTGATCAGGCGCTGATCCACCAGGAGGCCTGGTCACAGACCGGGCCGCGGGGGCGTTGAACCCCGAAACTCTCTCCAGGTAAACTCCAGGTAATAACAAGGGGGTTTCTGTATAGTAGTATGTCATTGATGTTAGCTAGGCCTGTGTGCCTTGTACATGTAGAACTAAGATTAGTATTATATTATTATTAAACACATTCACTTCCTCCATACTCCCTCCCTCCAATCTGATATCGAATCTTTCATTAACCATTTTCTTTTTGTTATTCTCATCACCTTGCTCTTTCCTATGTTCACTTTCAATTTCCTTTTACACACCCTCCCAAACTTGTCCACCAACCTCTGCAAAAACCCAATGTTATCAGCAAAAAGAAACTGTGACAACTACTATGTGTTGGAGTTAGATTCCTTCTTTTACAACCCCAACAATAGGTATATTGAACAACCATGGTGACATCATGCATCCCTGTCTACAGTCCACTTTTACCGGGAAATAATCTCCCTCTCCCCTACATACCCTAACCTGAGCCTCACTATCCCCATAAAAACTCTAACTGCTTTCAGTAACCTACCACATATTCCATACACTTGCAACATCTGCATTGTTCCCCTGTCCACCCTACCCAAATCCATAAATGCAATGAAAACCATATCGGATTATATTAAAAAGACAAAACTAGCGATGGACGTTCACCCACCTTTCCTTACATATAGTCTTATTCTCAACCTCCTACATCCACTCCTGTCCTATATTCTACTACTACAGTTACCCACAAATCTCTTTTTACTGATTTATTACTACTTCCACATATCAATTTACTGATCAGTTTAGCCCATAGCCACCGACAATTTTCTATTGTTGTATTATTAGTCACTTAATAGCATGCCGGGTCACAGCATGGAGAAGACCCGGGCCAGAACCCGTCCTGGCAAACCTACATGAATATCAACTCAATGGCAATATTTGCAGTGGAATATCGGAGGAGACGGGGTATCGGGGAGAGCTACAAGTGTTGCTTTCTCAGTTTTCCACTGCATGTTTATTTACAAGAACCAAAATTACGTTACACAATTGAGCTACCTATATCTGGCTATATTTTACTGCAGTAACTAGATCTATTTCCCAGCATGACTTACATAACAAAAGTGCACTTCTTGTGCGCAGTGATGTTCATTGTTCTCGATTTTTAGTTCTTACTCCGCTTCTTTATACTGTAGCCCGAATCTGGACAAGTAGTACACTACTTTTTGTACCTATCCCCTTCACGCCCACTATCTATCCCTGACATTCAATTTCTGATTTGTTCATTACCTACTCCACTCCTTCTATTAGGTGATTTTAATGTTCATCATTTACTCTATGGAGGGTCTGACTGATTCTCGTGGGGGCCAGTTCGAGGCTTTTCTCACTTCTCTTCCTTTACGTGTCTTAAACTCGGGTGTCCCTATATACTTTCCTTACCTGATCACATTCATCAAGGGTTACGTTTGTCTCGGGACTTATCTTACCCAGTCGAGAGCGTATATATAGACGTAAACGTCCTATCTTTACAAAATAGACGCTATGCCCATTGTATTCGTTAATAATGGATATTAGTAAAGCTAATTTGTTTAACTGATGCCTTCATTTATTAGTCTCTTTTTCTCTCCATATTCACTCATGGCTTTCCTTAATTAACCCCCCATCCCTTTACGTTCACCCTGCATCTTACTTCTCTCCCTCCTAGGGAAGTTCCGCAGATATACGTTTGCTTCTCCCCATTTTGGTCCCCTCAAGGGAGGTTCCATGATGCTGGTGAGGGGTTCTTGATCTAGGGAATTGGATCTGTGCTCCAGTTCCCTGTATTGAGCCTGAATATGTAAAACCTGCATTTGATTTGATTTGAATGCCTTCCATAACCCCCCTCCCAATGTGCTGTATAATCTTATGGTTTTAGCACTCCCACATGATTATAATAATAATAATTCTCCCCATTTTCATGTGCATAAGCTCACTTACCTCCAACAATTTATGCTCACTTTCTTGATCACTTTCAGTTAATATATATCAATGATCTTGATGAAGGAATTACTAGTGATATGAGCAAATTCGCCGATGACACGAAGATAGGTAGGATAATTGATTCAAACGTAGATGTTAGGGAACTTCAGGAGGATTTAGACAAACTCTACTCTTGGTCAGAAAAGTGGCAGATGCACTTCAATGTAGATAAATGCAAGGTTCTGAAGCTCGGGAGTGTCCATAACCCTAGCACTTATAAGTTAAATAATGTAGAACTTAACCATACAGATTGCGAAAAGGACTTGGGGGTTATGGTAAGCAGCAACCTTAAACCAAGACCAATGCCATAAGCGTACGTAATAAGGCAAATAGATTACTGGGATTTATATCAAGAAGTGTAAGCAACAGAAGTCCAGAGGTCATACTGCAGCTTTATACATCATTAGTAAGGCCCCACCTAGATTATGCAGCTCAATTCTGGTCTCCATATTACAGAATGGACATAAATTCGTTAGAAAACATTCAGCGTAGGATGACTAAATTAATACATAGCATTAGAAATCTTCCTTATGAAGAAAGATTGAAGACTCTTAAGTTACATTCACTTGTTAGACGAAGAATGAGGAGGAACCTGATCGAAGTGTATAAGTGGAAGATAGGTATAAAAGGGGATATTAACAAGGTCTTGAGGATTTCTCTCCAAGAGAGAACCCGCAGTAATGGATTTAAATTAGATAAGTTTAGA